CCATGTCATTCGTTTCAATAGATTTCGTGTCTTGCTGGACTTTTTAGAAGCTTTTCCCACAGTAAAGTGTTTCCTTGTTGCCTTCTGCTTGTCTTCAATGGCATGAAGACCTACCGGTTTTCCTGTGGCTCCCCTGGCTGCCCTTCCTGATCATTCTCTCGCTGACTGCTAAATGTCAGAGTTCTGCAGACAGCTGCTCTAGGGGCTCTTGTTTCCATTTGCTGCACTGTCTCTCTAGGCAATCTCCTCCCCTCCAATGGCCTATGTTATAATGCATTCTAGTCATATGCTCTTGTCTTTCAAGTGGAATCTCTCCAGCCAATTGCTCTCTGACATGACATCTCCATTGTGAATTTGGCACGAACCTGTCTCAGTGTGCCCAAAGCTATACCCACGGTCTCCCCCACTCCCCACAGAGTACTGCTCCTCCTCTCATTTTCCAATCTCAGGGAATAGCTTTGCCACTCACCAGGTTTACCACGACTTCTCATTTTTCCCTCATCTATCCAGTTGTTTTGAAAATCATGACAAATCTACACTATAAATATTTTTTCAGTTCACTTCTTTCCAAGCCCATGACACCATCATCTCTTGCCTGGAACATAAAAATAACTCCCCACTGGTCTGTATCTATGTACTGCTGTCATTCTCAAACCCCCAGAACAGTTAAGGTAATCTTTGAACAGAATGCAAAACTAATTGTCATTCCCTTGATTAAGACACATAAGTACCTTCTCATTGCTCTCAGGATACAGTCTTAAATCCTGAGTATGCCTTGCCTAGTTTACTCCATCTTCATCTTTTTTTTCTCCCTTAACTTCCTCTGAAAAAAGTCTCTTGACTCTTTTTTCAAGTTTCACATTTGATAGCACATTGGAAAAACAAGTTTTTCTTGGCTCTTTAAATGACATTAGGTAAATGCATATGCATAAAATCTCATTTTCCCCTTTACTAGCACTCATCACACATTGTTTAAAGACTACACATCTTGCCCAGCCAGGTGTGGCTCAGCAGTTGAGCATCAGCCTAGGGTCTGGGAGATAGAGGTTCGATTCCTGCTCAGGGCACATGCCCGGGTTGTGGGCTTGATCCCCAGCAGGAGTCATGCAGGAGACATCTGATCAATGATTCTCTCTCATCATTGATCTTTCTGTCTCTCCCTCTCCCTTCCTCTCTCTGAAATCAATAAAAATATATTTTTAAAAAATAAAATAAAAATATAAAATAAAGAGGGAGCTCTTTCATGCTCCACCTTAAGTTTAAAAATAATAAATAAATAAATTAATTAATTAATTAATTAATACTACACATCTTGACATATTTTGAGTTCCATGAGTGCAAGGACCATGCCTCTCTTGTTCAGTCCTCTGTCGTCAGTGCTTGACACCAATTGAGTGCTTAACAAATATTAAATAAATATTGAATAAATGAATATGTTCAGATCATGAACTTGCATTTTAACTTTCAAATGCAACATGACAGTTGGAAATATCCAAAAACAGAGAGTTTCATGTATTGGTAATTACATGTTTCAATAAGGTACAGCTAAGATGACTTAAAGAACGTAATTGTACCTTCTCTTGCTGCTTCTTTCCTATGCAATTTGCGAAAGTCAAATCTGTATGAGAAATCAGCTGGGAGACGGCATCACTTTTTTAAAGTCTTCATTTGAAGGGCAAAACAATGAAAGATTATAAGTGTTCTTGAGCTTTGTATTTCATAAAGATGATTTTAATATTGCTTTCTGACATTGATACATATGCAGAAAATTGATCCAAGAAGTATACTGACACAAAGATGATATTCTAGTTTAATTTACTCATTTAAAATTATTTTTATTAATTTTTGAAGTTATAAAAATAATAGCTGCCCGGCCGGGTGTGGCTCAGCGGTTGAGCGTTGACCTAGGATCCAGGCGATCAGGGTTCGATTCCCGGTCAGGGCACATGCCCAGGCTGCGGGCTCGATCAGTGACTCTCTCATCATTGATGTTTCTATCTCTCTCTCCCTCTCCTTTCCTCTCTCTGAAATCAATAAAGATATATTTAAAAATAATAATAATAATAGCTAATAAACATAAAGGTATGTAAAAAAAACTTTTCCCTCCTCCGTCCAAATTTACTTAGGTAATCAAAGTCGATCTGTTGTACATTCCTCCATCTAGTTTTCATGCTTATATAGTTATGTACAAAATTATATGCATATATCTAGCTTGATGTTTGCTTATTTTTAAAAAATAGGTTTAACAATATATATTATTCTGCAACTTGGGTTACTCTTTCAATAGTAATAATTTTTCAAGTCATTAGATACAAACCTAATTCATTGTTTTTACAAATCTGATTTATTGTTTTTACACTAGGTAGTTTTTCATGGTAATGATAACCACAATTTATTTAATCACATTCTATTGATAGGCATTCAAATCATTTTTAAGGCTTTGCTACTACAAATAGTGCTGCAATAAATATTATTATATGGGTATCCTTTTACACCATCACCTTTATTTGTAGAGGATATATTCTCAAAGTGGGATTATGGAATCAAAGTATATGTATATTTGCATATGTATATCTTTTAATGTTAATGACTATTGATTATGCTCCCAAATGATTGTCGAATTTCATATTCCTCACATTCACATTATGTGTCAGTAGTACTCTCTTTACAGTTTCTGCGTTAAGCTGTCTCCACCACAGTTCTGCTGTGAGGAAATCACAGTGACCTTCACTGGACTCGGATTGGTTCCCTAGTCTTAGTACTTTCCAAGTCTCTCACTGGATCATACTTGGACTTCTGGATGACATCCATACCACAGGGAAGTCTTGGGAGTAATATTTGCCAATGTTTTCACTCCATCATTTTTCTGCTCTGACCCCCCTCAATGGACGTGTAAAACCACTCTACAGGAAACAGTCCTCCCAACGTTGTAAACTTAAGGGGTTCACAGGCCCCTTCTGTTTTCAGCTCCTTTGACTTTTTCTGTGTTTTCCCTCTTCTTACCACCACCACACCATACCCCAGACTAATGCCTAAAGATATTAGTGCTGAATTCCTGAATGAAACAGGCAGTTTCTTAAATCTAAACATTCCTTCTTTAAATATCTTTTCCAGCCACCATCTTACCTTGCAGGAAATTTCTCTACATTATATCTTTCTTCTTATTTACCCCAAGTATGTGCATTTTTTCTAGATGATACTTGCTCTACTCTTCCCTGACAAATAAGACTCATGGTCTGCCTTTAATGGCAGAAAAGCTAAATGGGAAGGAAAAAAACCTGAGTACCTCAGAGAGAGAATATACATTAGGGAATATTTTTAAATATCCCCTTTATACAATGACATCTACACCTTGACCAAAATATTTGCCCATACTATGAATAAATACCCTTTAAAATTATCTTGTTTACCCACTCTTTGATGTGTCTACTGATTAAACCTTTAGAATGTCTCTATTTCTGTACCTTTTCTCCACCCTCTAGACCCTGAACTTTCCCAAGATAAGGTTTAAAATCCACTCTGGTGAAAGATTTTTCACATGTTTCTTCTTTTCAAGAATCTGTCTTTAACACATACTACAAAATGTGACCATCCTCCATTTACATTTAATTCTATTTGTAGGATTTATTTCTTCTTAATTTTTATTTTCTCTAGTTCTCTCTCTATTTTGAGATCTCTACTCTGATCCAATCATCATGACATGGTTAGAATAATTCCTCAAATGTTGTCCTGAGATAGGATACATGAGTAGTATGCATTCAGGACTTTTGCATATTTAAAAGTGACTTACTTTTGCCTGGATAGATAAATAATATTTTGGCAGAGTTAAGTTCTAGGGTTGCTATATTTTTTTCTAGTGTTACTACAGATGTTGCCTTATTATCTTTGAGTTTAGTGTATCACAGATGAAAGGTCTGAGGCTCTTTTGTTCCTCTTTTCTTTGTAAATAATTGTGTTTCTTCAGTGTAGAAGTTGCTAAAGTTGCTTTTTTAACAGTAGAGTTTGGAAATTTCACCTACATGTGTTTAATGGGCTATGTGATTTATTATTCTGTCCTCAGAGTAAATGAACCATCTCAATCTGCAGGCTGAATTTTAGCTAAATTTTCTTCTATTTTTTTATTGTTACTATTTCTTCCCCATGTGTTCATTCCAGAGTTTGTACTACTTACCTGTTGAGACTCTTAGATCTGTCTTCCAGACCTGTTATCATTTCTCTTAAGTTATGTATATCTTTTAGTTTTTGCTCTGTTATATTAGTTTTCTATTGCTGCTGTAACAAGTTACCACAAACTTAATGGCTTAAAGCAATGCAAATTTATCATCTGACAGTTCTGTAAATTAGAAGTCTGAAGTGGGTCTTACTGAGCTAAAATCAAAGGTGTGGGCAGAACTGCATTCCTTTCTGGAGGTTCTAGGGGAAAATCCATTCCCTTGTCTTGCCAGCTTCTGAGGGCACTTACATTTCTTGGCTTGTAGTTGGTCCCCTTCTTCTGCCTCCAAAGCCTGTAACACTGCATCGCATTGATCATTCTTTAGTAGTCACATCTCCTTCTAAACCTCCTCTTCTGCCTTCCTCCTACACTTCTAAAAAATCTTTGTGATTACATTGAACCTGCCTGAATAATCAGTCTCCCAATCTCAAATTAAATCGTCCATTTAATCAGGTCTGCAAATCTTCTTTTGCTATGTGAGATAAGATTCACATGTTCTAGGGAGTGGGACATTGACATTTTTAGAGGGTTAAATTCTGCCTACCACACCTGGATTGTGAAATGATTGTCCTCCAATTAAGTAATCAGCAACAAATACTTGAAGGATAGACAAGAATGATGCCTGAAAGGGGGCTCCAACAGACCTAGTGATAATTTTCTGAGCTGTTTACAATTATGCTTTTCCTACTAGCCTCACAGAGCTTATTCCCTGATGCAGCATACTCCACACTCATTTAGAGGTTGCTGTGGCCGGAGAGACTAACCACACACCCTTGTTCCCTTGTAGAATCCAGTGAACGCGAAGACAAGAGTGCAGGTGCCTCAGGGGAGACACCCTCCCAGCCTTATCCTGCACCAGTGTACAGTCAGCCTGAGGAGCTGAAGGAGCAGGTGGATGATGCAAAGCCAACTAAGCCTGAAGAGAATGAGGAATCAGACCCTTTGCCTGATAACTGGGAAATGGCTTATACAGAGAAGGGTGAAGTCTACTTCATTGAGTGAGTTTCACACCTTTCTTTGAACATTGCCAGAAAGATCATAGTGTGTAAATGATATAGCAGAGATGTGGTGAAAATAAAATAATGAATTTTTTTTTTAGCATTAGTTCCTTTCTTTGTTAGAGAATAATGGGATAGTGCCATAATACAATTAAGGATCCTAAATTATAGCAATAAATCAAAGGATATATTAAACAACATTATTGTAAAATTTGTTGTAATAATGGGGAAATGCTTACTCTATTCTGTTAAGATGTCCATATAGTTTAAATAAGATAAACCCACATTTTAAGTCAAATTGCTGGAAACTTCCACCATCATGTTCAATGATTTAACAGGATGCAGCTATTTAAGGCAAAATGCTTGCTAGTCATGAAAATGTTTTAAGCATTCGACCATGTTTTAAGCATGAGGCCAGGTTTTAATAAAATCATTTGTTTTTGCATAGTTCATCATACTTATTTTTTAATTCCATTGTATTTCTTGCTTACCATTTTTCTGACTTGCCAAGGAAACTAAAATGCTAATCCTGACTCTCTGGTGATATTTACCCACCCTAATCTTTTCTTTCTTTTGGGACTTTTTTCCAAAATGAAATTTTTAATATATTTTATTAATATTGTCTAAGTTTTCTTTTATCTCCTAGAAGTAGAACAACTTTTTTAAAATGAACTATGAAGTTGAAGATCTTAGCACAAAATTAAATTGTCGATGTACATAAGATAATCACAATGTGCATTAGAAAGAATAAAAAACATCATAAATGAACAACGACCCTTACTTCCTTAAAGCTGTATAAGCCTCAAAAAGAAAAATTAATATAAACTGAAGTTTTCAGTGCTGACAGTGGATAAAAAGTATGTAAATTCTTATTATTCAAGAAAAATATTAAAATTGGATGCCTTTTCCCAACCTGGAATGATTTGAGACTTAGATCTCCATAGGCAGAATTCAGTTGTGAAATTGAAATGTTACCACATGCCAATATTTAATTCTCACGTGAAGGCAGAAGCTTTGATACTTGTGGCCAAGGGAATACATAATCAGGTAATTACTCGGCACTCTGCTTGACTCCAATATGGATGAGAAATGCAGTGTTTGTGGAAAATGAATTACTATTGTTTACCTTTTGACAAATCTTACACTGTTTAAAAAAATTAAGAATCTCTTATGTCAGTTTTTTACTATAATCAATAACCCAAAGGCATCTTTTATCAATTAATTGGAAAAAAGAAAGTCATATAGAATTTTTTAAATGCACAAAAGTATTTATATCTAAAAACAGTTTTTCTGTTGATCAGCACAGCATGGAACCATTATAGACCAGAAGTCAAAATATAAACCCTAGATGTGAGGTCACACACTTATGTTCAAAACATTTGATGTTCAGAACAGGAAGACTGATGATATATACATTTTTATTATCTAATACAAGGGGAGTAAAGCTATGTGGAAATAATAGAAAACCAACATGACAAGTTGATGAAAGAAGTGTGTCCTTACAATGTTTCTAGTAATGCAATTATAAAAACCTTCCTTCTTTGGGATTATAAACAAACTTTTTTTTTTCTTTTAATAGTGTTAGGTTTGGAGATTGTGGAGAAAGGGATTTTGGGAGACAGAAGTTGTGCTAATGGAATATTGTAAATGATGAGATGGGAGAATCTACCAAAATTATTCTGTTAATACACTAGTCACCTAGTGTCAGAATTCAAAGACTCAAAATTAATTTCTGCTCTCAAATTTATTGTCAAGTTGGGAAAGAGATACAAATAGTTATATAAAGTATCAGTAAACAGTTTCTGAGTTTTGTGATACTGTGATACTATTCAGAGCTTAGCATAGACTTAGGTAGTAAAAGGAGGCATCATAGATAAGGTGCAATAACATAGACTGGAAAACTTGGTAACATGTAGATAGGGCATTTCACATAGAAGAACTGTTATTACGAAGACCCTGACCCTGGGTGTATTACAAATAGTGAGAAGCCCCCTGACCTTACTAAGGTGTTAGTTGGTGAATCCTGTGAAATGATTGCTTAGCTTTCATTTTGCTAGATCAGTGGTGTTTTTGAAAGAGAAGCAGAGGGCTTTGTTTGTTTATCTTCTTTGTGTTACTGCAGGGAAGGATGAGTGGGTAGTATTAGGAGCAGAGATAGGCTGAGTTGGAAAATTAAGGCAAAAGAAGGAGACAGTTTTATTTGTGGTGAGAAAGCTGGTGCTGAGGGAGATCCCTCCAGAGGGGAATGCAGAAGCCTAGAGTAAGGGCTGAAGTGAGTGTGACCTGAAGGCAGTCAATGTAGGAGCAGGAGCAAATGCCCTGCTTCAAAAGGTTATTACACACAATGCAGGCATTTGCCACATTGGATCACCTCCATCCTGGACCAGTTTGAGCTCCATCTTTCCTTCCTTCAGAAGTTTACTTTGAACCTCAAGGCTCAGTGTTATGAGCTCAAGTACCACAGAGCAGGGATCAGTGTGTCATTCATCCGGCCCCTCATTTCCACACTATCACAACCTGCCCTGCAGTTTCCTTTCTTTCTGCCTACATCTCATTCTGCTTTGCTTTTCCCTGAGTTTTCGACAATTTTCTCCTGACAGCTTTCACTCTTTGCTCTGGAATGCCCCTTCCCTTCCTAACTACATTTGACAAAATCAAACATTTCAACCCACTGTCCGTGATCTGTGTGTACCTTTGCTACTGATATCACAAGGAATTCTTATCTGAATAAACTCTATACTACTACGAAAGCTCCTTGGAACTATCTGGTAGAGCAGGAGAGGGAGCATAGTAGGGCAATAAGGACTTTCTTAGGGACTAAGCCATGATGTGTCCCAGAATTTCTGGTCAAGAAACTTTTAAACAAATACTATTTGTAATATAAAAGTTTGCAGTCCTGAGGCAAAGTCATGGTAAAGAAAGAAGATTAAAAGGAAAGGTAATGTAAGTTAAGAGGAAGATCAAACAGAATGAAAGGTAGAAGAGAATGAGATTTGTGAGGTAAAGAGAGCTGACATCAGTGAAAACTTCCCTCTGGTACAAATATTGTCTTAGGATAATGGAAGTCTCTGCTTGTAGGCAACACTTTCATTATACTTTACTGAAATGAAGATCATAATAAAACAGAAAATAAAACTAAAGAGAAAGCCGCTGTGTTTCTGCATATAAAATTGTGCATCTATCATTTATTTCTGAGTAGAAGAGGGGAACTCTATGCTGAAATGTTAACTTAAATATGTATTTTAAAAATACATATTGGGTTTTGAATTAAGGTAACAAGTCACTTCATTGTTCTGTCTTCTGTGCGGTATTATAAAATAGTTATTGATTGACTCAGTATTGCAAAATAGTTTGTCTGAATACTTTACAAGTTCTGCATTTAGAAAATGAGGATATTCTTTGTTGTTCTCAATAATGAACACATTTTCCAACTACATTTCCCATACTCTTCAGGACTGCTTTCTTTGATGGATGATAAAAGCAGATTCCTTTTATCATTTGCAATGATATTGAATGGGAAAAAGTTAATATCTCAGAAAGTGTTTTTAAATAACAGAATTTTAACTTGTGAGTGAATGCTGTCTTCCAAACACGCTTTAAAAACATTAGTTATGTTTTATATTTAGCAATTTTCAAAAGAGTCTCAAATAAATAATATTATTGCCCTAACAGTTTTGGCTTAGTGGTTAGAGTATCAGCCCTCAGACTGAAGGGTCTGGAGTTCGATTCCAGTCAAGGACAGGTACCTTGGTTGCAGACTCAATCCCTGGACCCAGTGGGGGCATGTGAGGGAGGCAACCAATCGATGTGTTTCTCACACATCAATGTTTCTCTCTCTCCTTTCCACTCTTTCTGAAAAAACAATGGAAAAAATATCCTCAGGTGTGGATTAAAAAAAAAAAAAAAGCATAATATTATTTAAAACCAGTTTTCTTGCCTGGCCCAGTGGTTGAGCATCGACCTAGGATCCAGGTGATTGGGGTCCGATTCCTGGTCAGGGCACATGCCCGGGTTGTGGGCTTGATCAATGACTTTCTCATCATTGATGTTTCATCTCTCTCTCTCCCTCTCCTTTCCTCTCTCTGAAATCAATAAAGATATATTTAAAAAAAATAAAAAGTAAAACAGTTTTCTTAATTCATAACATCATCTTCATTAATATTATCTTCTAAAATAGACAGTATATAGTAATTATAAATTTAAATTAGCAATAATAATTATAACCTATTTAGTGCCTACTTTTTCAGACTGTGTTCAGGTAACCTTAACAACAATAGGTAATACATTAAGCATTTGCATTGTAGAAATTTTATTCTCACTTTAAGAAACAGGCTTACAGAGGTGACTTGTTCCTAGTCATATAACCAAGAATTGACAAAGCTAGGATGCTTTGATTTCACTTATGTAACAGATATTTATAGGACGCATACTATGTGCTAGGAACCATTTTAAACCCAGGAAATAGAAAACTGACAAGATTGGTAATTTTCATGGAACATAATCTACCTCCAGGTTCTTGCTCTTAACCATTTTGCTACAGTGCTTACTTTACATATGTTATATTATAACTACCCTATAAACATTTGATGAAACCCCCATTATATAGATGAGATTCTCAGGCACCATTGGACAAATTAACATTCCCAAGTTCTCATAGTTCTCTCACCTTGCAAAGCCATTGCTATTATTTCATACTACCTCTAATGTGTAAACAAACATTGGCTGAAATAAAAGTAAACTTTTATATTATAATTATATCATTTTATAAGTTTCTTGGCCAACAATTCACTACTCAAGAGGCTAAGTGTTCCATAAAGAAGAGCTGCCCAGGGTTAATCTGGATTGACATTCTTTGGGGATCCCATTAAATTACTTCTTTATCTGTTTAGTTAGTGACAGAAAAGAGACTGCTATTCCTTTGACAAAAAACAAAGACAACAAAAACCTATTTGTTTACTACTATCTTCTTGAATAGCAAATGCTATGCCATCTTAAATAAC